TTATGCATCTTGTTCTTATTAGTAATGGAGATTTGATTTGCTTGCATGCCTATGGTAATATCGTGTCAATTCTGACATTGAGCTTTTCTTTACCCCAAACACTTTGAGTGATTTGAGTGAATCCTGGTAAGGTGTCGAGTTATAAGCATTGAGATTAATGAATGAATGGATATCACGATCACACTTGACTTGTTCCAATTGATTATTTCTTGACTTGAATAGTTATTGTGGTCTCTACCTTGCTTCCTCGAATGTGAAACTTGACAAAGAACGGTAAATGAAATTTTTGACTGATTGATTAATCATACTTGAGAATAATCATGAGATAAGTGAGGGGGAATTTGATGAGTGTTCAGAATCATTAATCTTTGCTCGTTATTTCTTCGATTTTGTGGACTTATTGCTGCTGATTTGGTCGTGTTATGCTTATTTTCGTGCAGATCCTTACTTTCCAGAATTAGTGACAAAACGGGCACATTCTGCATTTTTTTATTATTTGGTCACGGCTGGAGACATGGGCGTGACACGGTCGACGTGGCAGTTTTTAGAAGGTCTAGTCAGCGACGGTTTCAAGAAGATCTCCTCAGCACGCCTTCTGGAAGATGGACGAGCAGAGTTGCATTAGGAGACTAGTTTAAATTTTGAATTTAGAAAAAACAATTATCTTTAGGATTATTTTATTTTTATTTCTTTGTTTATCCTTAGGCTTTGAGAGGCTATAAATACCCTCTTGGGGTAAGCCTAAACTCATCACTCAAATTACAATCTTCTTTTCTCTGTAGTTTTATTAAATGCCTTCTATTTTTACTTTTCAAGTTATTTTTCATTTTTCTTTTATTTTCAAGTTTTGTTTTAAATATGCTAAGTATGACTTTTTTCATGCTTAGCTAAACTTTTCATAAGCCGAGAGCTGACGCGATGACTCAATTCCAACGGGAGAATTGAAACAGGCCCTTAATATCTTTGGAATATATCTCTTAATCTCTGCACTTATTTTTCAAAATCAAAGATTGACTTTGGTCAAGAGGTTGTTGCGATTAAATGTGTGGGAGGAAGATTCGGCTTATAGAAAGCACATTCGACTTCCTGGGAACACACTTGGTGAGATAGCTTCGCCAAGAGGGATTTGAGATCGGAATTGACGGTTATGGAAACAACAATATGAGTCGGTCTCCACGAACTTAAACGGTAATTGATCTACAACAATTGATGTTGATAGAATCAATTTTCGAAGCCGGAATCAAAGATTGCCTTGGGTATTTGATAAACAAGATAGAGTCATGGGGATAGTCCTTGTAGACAAAGTAACTGACGTGAATTTGGAGGGAAAATCTTATTCGATGATCTGAAGGAAATTGAGTTAAAGCGAATCTTGAGGCTATTTTTACCGTATTTATTCACAATCTTTACCCTATTATTTTTACTTTAATTACTTTTATTTATTTAATCATTTTTTTACTATTTAAATCTCATATTACAAACCCTTTTTTTTTACTATTTTCGCCTGGTTAGAACCCTTCAAACATAAAATTATGATTTTCTAAGTCCCTGAGGATTCGACCCTTATTTCTCTATACTATTTATTTCCTTATTTATTAATTGAGAAAAAGGAATTTATTTGACATCCAAAACGAAAGTTGTCACTCATTATTTATAATAGTTACTCATTTGTTCATATTGTCTAGGCCATTGCTTTTGGTTACTGCAAAATAACAGTTGCCATTATCAACTCTTTAAATAATGCCATCAGACCCAAGGTTTAAACTCATCAGTAAAATAATATTATATTAGCATTAATGGAAGTTTAATGATTAAGATAGTGATGATCAACAATTCACGGTAAAAATGTCACTACAAATCATAATATATAGTGGTGTTTTATACAAAAAATGCCACTAAATACAAGAGAATTAGCGGTGTTTGTGGCAAAAACCCCACTAAAGACAAAAGAATTAGCGGTGTTTGTAGCAAGGCACGCCACTAAAGATAAGAGAATTAACAGCGTTTTTGGCAAAAAAAAGTCACTAAATACAAGAGAATTAGTAGCATTTTTGGCAAGAAATGCCATTAAATACAGAATAATTAGCGGTGTTTTTGCTACAAATGTCGCTATAAATCACTACATATAGCAACGTTTGAAAGAACAAACGTCACTATATAACTCGACCTTTTGCGGCATTTTAGGTTTACAAACGCCGCTACCTTTTACGGCGTTCATTTTAGTGGTGCTTCTTGCGGCGCTCTTCCTAGCGCCAATAGTGTTTTTAGCAGTGCTTAAAAACACCATTATATGACTAAAAAACGTCAGTAAAAACCTGTTTTGCTGTAGTGAAAAAATCTATGATTTTTAAATGTTTGGAGACTTTCTTACGTTTACAAGATTCAGGGTATTTATTCAAAAATATGAATAGTGAGAATCATTATTTTGAGAAGACGAACAACATACCTCAAACTATCCTTATCTTATAGTCAATTAATAGATGAGAGTATTAATATGTAAAACTTTTAAATGATTTTTTTCGATTTTGAGTGGGGATTTTAGAAAATCAATCCTAAGAGAAGAAAAAAAGAGTGAAATGCAATCGTTTTGGTATCGATCTTGCCACGAAATATGACTAGTGACATCAATGATTGGCTTCCAGCTAAGCTCGAAAAATGTACTGTCAAAAAATAAACTATTTAAAAGTTCAGTGAAAAAATCGGTGCACCCCTAAAGTTTAGTGCCTAAAATGACATTATTTTGGATATTAATAGTTTTCACCAAAATGACGCTATTTTGATTTGACATGCCATATCAATAATCGTTAGCCATGTCATTGACTCTTTACTGACTTAATGATGAACTGACATAATTAAATGTAAAATTAAAGTTCAGCGTTATATTTGGTAAAATTGAAAGTTCAATGGTATAAATGAGTCAGAAAGTAAAGTTTATTGTTATCTAAGTAGATTATCCTAAAATAATTTTACTAATTATTCGATATTATATTTTTGAAAGTTGGATTTCATAGAAAATCAATTGAATACTTTTAAACTTCAAAAATCATTTAATGTCAACTAAAATAATAATTAATCAAAAAAATAATCAAAAAAATCATTTAAGATTGTTAAGATTAAAATTTTGAAATTCAAGGTGAAACAAAATGCAACTTCGTAAGTCTCAATTAATCCAATAATAATATGTATAAGTATTGATGATATAACTGTATGATAATGAATCATGTTTAGTATCCATACATATATGATATAAAATTATGTGACATCTATATTGATGATTAATATGTATAAGAAATTAAAAGTATATTGACTTTTATAAATCCAATTATATAAATATTATCAATTTTCTTTTATCTTTATATGTTACATGTATATATATGATCTATAATATGTCTTTTGGAATATTTTTAAATTTTATTTTTAAATAATATATTATTTATTATTTTATAGCTTACAATATTATTTTTAAAGTTTTTAGTATTTTTAAAAAATTTGTTTTAGGAATTTAATTTTTATTTTCATTATTTTATATATTTTTAATATCTAATTATTTTTATATTTTAAGTTTGAATTTTTTTAAATCATAAATAAGTGCTTGAATTTTTAAAAAATCAATTTGATCTTCGAATTTGACAAAAAAATAATTTAATCCATCTATCACCTCATCATCCACTATGAATTGTTATGTCAGCATCGTGTACCATATATCAACATCGTGATCCACATCAAAATTGTCAAAGTCAATATTTATTTCTATTAATCAAATAATTAAATTAATTATTTTCTCAATTTAAAGAATTCAAATACTACATAAACTTAAACATAAGACCAAAAGGGGAGTTTGGTTTGCTAAAAAAAGATTATTAAGGGGAATAATCTTTTTCAGAAATACATTCTCATGTTTGGTTCACGAAAAAGATTATTACCAGAGATAATATTTTCTCAATAATAACATTTTTGGTTAATATTATTGGAATGTCATTGCCTCCAATTCTTAGATATTAGACAATTCTCACCACTTTATACAAGAATACCCCTAGACTAATGAATTCCTTATATAATGAGCCTTCTCAATTTTTATTTTTTGTACTTTACTAAAAACTATAAATATAATAATAATATAAAAATAATTTAATTTAGTAAAATATTAATAAATTTGAGTATTTAAAATTTATTTTTATATTTTTAATATTCAATATATTAATTTTATGAGGTGAAAAAATATTATTGTAAAAAGGTAATTATTTAAAATAATATATAACTTTAAGTTATTAAAAAAATAGATCTTATATATTGAAAATTAATATATTTATTCAAGACCATAATATATTTTTATATTATATTATATTTTATATAAAAAAAAATATAATACATATGATAATATGAAAGTCATTTGAAAATATAAGATTAATATACTAATTATATATTAAATGTGTTTTTTCTCAAAATTAAGATAATATAACGATTAAAATATTTTTATGAATTTTCATTTGAATATTTATAATTTAATTTTAAATTTTAACTTTAAAAAAAAACATATATCACAAGAATAATTTCATAAAATATACATTCAAATAATCTTATATTTCTCCAATAAAACACTATAATTTTATATTCCTACTAATCAAATCATTCAAGACAATACAATATTTCTATAGTAATATTATATTCTAACAATATTATTCTTAAAAATAATTTTACACTCCAATAAACCAAATGTACCTGAAATTTTAAATAGGATAAATTACGTTTGAGCTAATAATATAGTAGAAACCTAAAACAGCGGGGGTACTAAAGGAAAAGAGAGAGAAAAGAGGGAAAATATATAAATAGAGAGAGAAAAGGAAAGGAAATCCGCTGTTTGAAGAAAGCCCATAGATTTGTAAATGCAGGTGGAAGTAGTGTACAAGACCATGGCCCCTGGTTTTCCATTCTCTCTATCAAATACGAACTCTTCACTCTCTCTTTCACCTCATTTATTCTTCTTCTTGTCCCCCTCCACTTTTTTTTTATCTTCACCAAACACTTATAGAGATGCAATCTTTCACATCTCTATCCTCAATAGGTACAAACACACCATCCTGAATTACCCCCAAACATAAAGAAACAGATTTTACTCGAGTCTTTTGTGTCCCCTGTTTTTCCTGTTCAACCCTATGTTTTTATCTGTTCATCGATATTTCTTGCTTCTTTTAGTTTCTTGTTTCTTTCTTTCTTTATTCTTGTCTATGCCTATGGTAGAGTTGATTCAGAATTTTAAATGGGGAGAGCAACCGTGCCTGATATAAAAGGGAAAGGTTTCAGTGAATTGGATAAGGAAACCAAAGCGAATAAAGTTCCCGATACGAATAAAATTAGAAACACTACTTCTTCAGATAACCGGGGAAAGAAGAGCAGGAGGCGACAAAGGAAGATGATGGCGTTGCCGGCGTCTGCTGTGGTGCACCCGGTTCAAAGGCTTTTCAATGCTTGCAAGGACGTTTTCGCCTTTGCCCGAACTGGATTTGTCCCTTCTCCCGATGAAATTGAACTGCTTAGCGCTCTTTTGGGTATACCTTTTGTTGTGATTTGGATCAGTCCAAATGTAGTTTGATCATACCAAGAATACTTAGATTTCTTGATAGTCTAATCTTGATTGAATTTTTTAGAATAATTAACCTTAAATTTCTGAAATCCGTTCAGCATTTGTTTTCTTGAACCATCTTTTTATATACATTTGACGAAATAAACATACACTTGAAAATGCCTGCACTCTCTCTCTCTCTAATATTATATTCACTATTCTGTTCAATGGGGTGACCCTTGGAAAGGAGCCATTAGCTTACCACCCTTCACCTATCTTTTTGTTTGTATATGAAGATCTTAGGGTTCTGATATCATATACTACTTTCATATACTACTTGCAGTTAATTGTGTCACGTTATTCAAGAAAAAAAAATCTGTAAAATAGATGTAGGGAAGTGTACCATTTCTGTTTTCTGATTTTTCTTTTTAAATATTTCTGTTATGGCCTAGCGTACTGTTATTTATTCATGTTGGTCTTGTATTTGGTTCATTATTACATGTAAATTTCATGCTCTTTAGGCTTGTGTGATTCAAACTCTTTCATCATGTATGCATTGGATACAAGTAGTGCCAGCCAACTTGGTTGTTTAATATCTCTAGTAAATATAACTGATGAAGATTTTGCCAAAAATTAGAAACTATATGGTCTTATTTAGATACTACTACTCATGTTATACTAACATTGCTTCTTTTTGTTCTTTTGTTTAGATGAAATTCGGCCAGGTGATGTTGGTCTTACCCCACGGATGCCGTTTTTCAGTCCGCAAGTAACTCGACGAGCTCCGACGATAGCATACCTGCACATCCACGAGTGCGAAAGGTTTTCAGTAAGTGCAGTTTGTATCAAGAAATGCAAGCCATACTTTTTGATTTAAGTAATTCTTGACTGTCTTATCATTACAAATTTTCATCTGATGCAGATTGGCATCTTTTGCTTGCCTCCATCCGGTGTCCTTCCGCTTCACAATCACCCTGGAATGACTGTATTCAGTAAGCTTCTCTTTGGGACTATGCACATCAAATCATATGATTGGGTTGTCCCTACCACATCAGCTGTTGTGGATCCTTCACAAAGTAAGTGTTTTTCTTTTTCAAGCTTATTTTTCTCTTTACACTAGTGTTTTTATATATCCATTTTGGAAAAGCCATGAATGTAGAGGGTGGGACTCTAGAAAAGACAATGATCAACTTCATAATCGGGTTTCAGTAGCAAATGGAAATGATAATTTAAGAAATTGAAAAGTCTCATGGATCGCCATTGGTTAGGCTCCATATTCTTAGAATGCTGCATATGTAGATGCTTGCTATGTTTAAGTTGTATTACTGATGAGAGAATCATCCTTGATGTACATGTAGAGAAATTACTGAGACCAATTTTGTTCATGTAATGGCAGCTCAACATTCGGAAGTCCGGTTGGCTAAGGTTAAGGTGGATTCCGACTTGACTGCGCCTTGCAAGACCTCCATACTTTATCCAGCTGATGGAGGCAACATGCATTGCTTCACTGCTGTGACGGCATGTGCAGTGTTGGATGTTCTAGGCCCTCCTTATTCGGATCCCGAAGGAAGGCACTGTACGTACTACTACGACTACCATTTCACAAGATTCCCAGGTACTCTTTTTTTTCCCTACTCGTCCTTCCAATAATAATTGGTTACTAAAATTAAAGACTGATTTTTTCATTAAAAAAAACTTGGTGCAGCTTATGAGCAGGTATCAATACCAGAAGAAGAGAAAGCTAAGGTAGCTTGGCTTCAAGAGAGGGACAAACCTGAGGATTTGGTGGTTGTTGGAGCTCCATACACTGGTCCCGAAATTATGGAAAGCTAATCTCAAAGCCCTCATCACATCTCTTGCAATGTCCCCAAAAAAAACAGCATTTTCTTATCCTTGTTGTCTTGTCAGTGGTTGCTGTTTTAGCTTTAGAAACTTCTATTTTCCTTGGTTTTTTCCATAAATCCCCCTCCTAGTAGGACATGTGTACTCTTTTTTTTTCGTACAGTTTTTTTTTGGTATATAAAAGGGGGAAAATAACCGGAAAGGAAAAAAGGGGGGGCAAAACTGCTGTAAGTGCATCGGATGAAGTTTGTAGGTGAATGAGAAAAAATGTTAAAAAGGCACTCATACTATAAAGTGCACCTTTCTCTATTTCATTGCTTCAGGTTCGCTCCCTTATTCTGTCATATTGTAAATGAATGAACTCGATATGTTGAGACTTATACTTTTACCCTTTCAGTATTATCTTAAAATAGCATATGGTTGATGATAAATGAATTGTTATTTTTGAGGTTTTAAATTTGAGCATTGGAAATATTAAAGTTCCGAGTGATAAATGTTAAATGATTGAGTGTTTTTTGAACATATACTATTTTCTACATACCATAGAATAATAAGAAAAAAAATAAAATAGCATATGATAATGATTGAATTAAATACTCAAAAGTAGTTTAAATTTTTTCTCAAGTGACATCAGTGTTCTCAATTTAAGTCAAATAGGTTCACTTGTAAATTTTGGGATTTTATTTTGTTTTGCTTTGGTAATTTTGGCTTAAAAGTAGTGATATCATGTGGGTTTTTGATTTCCATGATTCCCTGGCATAATTTTCACAAAGGGATTCATTTTGTTTTCAAGTTACTTAAACTCTATGATTATACCCTCAGCAACTCTTTCTCATAACGATAGGTTGAGGCTCACATTAATATGCTCAGTTGAAATGATGCAAAAAGGATCAGAATTATATCTTGTGAACATCAAAACATAGACCATGTTACGAAAGTGCTTCATCTCTAGTAGCAAAACTGATCAATAAATCAATTGTCCAACTCTCTTTAATATATCTTGTTCGATCCAATGAATTATGGACCCGATTTCCTTTAGCGCCCAAATGTTATACACCTTCCGAGGTGACATATTAAGGAAGATGTTTTCAACCACTAAAATCTTGTCTTTACTAACAACTAGATGGTCTAGTGGGATGAGATACTATATCCCTTAAGTAAGGTCAAGGGTTCGAATCTTAAAGATTGCGAATGGAGCAAATTGGGTTAGGAAGATCACTCTCACCTCTGTAGTACCTGATCTGAATTAGTTGATCAATACATTGAATATTGATGGTTATACCCAAAAATACATTTGCGATCATTAAGTGCCTTAAAAGAAATTGTCTAGATATTCGACTAGAAGTTGTTGTAACCAAAGAAAGATTTGAGCCAAAACTAAATATTATGTATGGTTTTGAAAAATTAAAAGTTTAGATGCTAAAACAGATCAAAATTAATAATTTAGATACTAAATACATAATTTATCCTAAATATAAAAGTTCGACGCATCATAAAATCTCACTATCTCCTCTATATACAACTTGGCTAATCTTTTCAATGTGAAAGTTCATTTCTACCGACAAAGAATACATAATATTCTTTAGTCTATCCACTATAACCCATATCATATCATGCTTAACTTGAGTCATAGACAATCTTGTCATGAAGTCTATATTCACTCAATCATATTTACTTTATCGAATATGGATAGATTGAAGTAACTTGGTGCTTTGTCTTGACTTGTTAGTAGGTTAAACATCTACACAAAAAGTCGTATATCTCTCTTTTCATATCGAATCACCATCAATTGATCCATCTCCTGTTATATCTTATTTCTCATAGAATACACATCGGCCAAACTGTTATGAGTCATTCGTAGAATCTTGTCTCTCAACTAATCATTTGTGAGCACACACCAGCATCACTAACCATGAACACACTAATCACTATTAATTTAATTTATAAAAACTTAAAAATTCTAAAAGACTCAATGTATAATTATAAATTAGTTAAAAATTTAAAGGTACACTTATTTAAAATAAAATATTAATTACATACTTTTCTATAATTTTTTTAACAATAAAAAATTTACTCTTTAAAAAAATATTTAATTTTTTTTAAATATATATATATATTATGTAATTAATATTTAGTTTTAAATAATTTATCTTTAAATTTTTAACTAATTTATAATGAGAGTTTTTAAAAAGATTAATTTTTTATAAATTAAATTAATGATACTCATTGGTGTTCAGTTCATCGTGTAACATCCCAAATCAGGGCTAGTGACTAAATAGAAAATTTTGAAAACTATGTGCTCGATTTCGAAACAAGTTAAAAGTTCAAAGACTTAAATAGGAATATTTCAGTATTGGATTAAATTGTAATTATGGAAGATTGAAAGGGGTATTATGCTCTTTTTCTTTTAAAATATATTATTTCCCCTTAAATAAGAGTGAAACACGTGGGGAGGAGAGTTATCTGGAAATTCTCTTCTTCTTCTTGCTTTCTTCTTCCCGTGTGCTCAACCTCAAGCCTCAAAGGTGAGTTTTAATTTAGATGGTTAATTCCTAGATTTTTAAGTTGGGCTTTATTCTTTGAGTGTTATATAAGCTTAAGGAAAGCTTATATAAGCTTAAAGCATTAAGAAGAGAGAATTAGAAAGAGAATTTTATTAAGGGTTTAGAAATGAATTTTTTATATAAAGAGTTTTTTGAAGTTTTATTGATGAATTTAACTTGTCATTGGAAGGATTAAGAAGTTTAAAGCATTAGAATTGAATTTAGAACACATGGAAAGTTTGATGAAATTATTTGATTCAAGAGTTATAGTGAGATATTGTGGATAATGAAGTGTTATAGCGTTTAAAGATGGTTTACATATGTATAGATAAGTTTTAAGGCATAAGGAGAGGTTAACAAGTAGAATTTGGGGACAAAGTGTTTAATTTTCGGGCTTAAAAATGAAAATCTAGGCAAGGGGTATCAGTACCTGTTGAGTAGGAACCGATACTACAAGGAAAATTATGAGGATTTGATGCATGGGATATCAATACTTGTATGAATGGTATCGATACCTATTTGGAGGGTATCGATATCCGGGAAACTTCGAAGCTAATTTTGGTATCGTACCTGGGTGGGGCATCAGTACCCTAGTATAGAGGTATCGGTACCTTGAGGGTGGTACCGATACCACTTAAGTTGGAAAGTTGAAATTGGAATTTTAATTAGTTTATATTGATATGAATCATATTAAGTATTTCGAATCTCGTCATTCATTAAACCTCGTATTTCTGTAGACATCGATGAAAGAAAATTTCGGATGGGCTGTCAGAGTAAGATTCATGAGAGAGAACAAGAGTTTGGTATTGGCAAGTAATCAAGGTGAGTACATGATAGTACGTATATGTTATGTTAGGGAATTAAGACTTGCGATGAGTCTAATTCCGATATTAGATTGCATGAGTACAAAGATACAAGCATGGTGTGATATGATGTTTATTAGTAGATGAGTATATATATATATACCTAGAAGTTAAATGCATCTTTATTTATGATTCATGTGAATGTGTGTTGTGTGATAAATTACGTAACTATAAGCCATGTGATAATAAGTTGTATGATTCTATGATCATAAGAAATAAGACATATGACAAGAGATATGTGAATATAAGTTTATATGAATACAAGAAGTGTTATATGAAATGTGACCATATGAAAGTAAGAGCATGTGATATGAAATACTTGAAAAGAGGATATGAGATTCCAAATGAGTACTACACGATATGTGTTATAAGAAGCCATGAGCTTATATGTGTATGTGATATGAATATGTGAAAGTGTTATAACATAAATAATAATGCCCATGTTATGTGTTATGAGAGCTAGGGGTATAGTTGGCATGCCAAGAGTCAAGGGTTCTACGTGGTCCTTCGGGACATATGTGTTCTATGCGGTCCTTAGGGACATAGTGGTCCTTCGGGACAAATTCTACGCGCCCCTAGTGGGAATTATACGAGCGGTGGTGACAGCATATGTGCACAACCTCTATGTACTCACATACCTTAATTTCTCAGAAGTATACATGGGTCTTAAAGATAATAAATAACTTGCTATAATATTATGTATGTTCCTTTGTGAAATGATATTTGTTCTATATGATGTGTATAAATGATAAGTTCATGATAATAATAACAAGTGCATATGTGTATTTGTTATATGAGATGATATGTTCTTGTGTATGATATGATAGTAGTAATGGTTCATGTATTACGGTGAATTAGGGTTTATGTTAAGTATATACTCATATGATAGAAAGGAATTAGTGATAATAAAATAAGTAATGATAAGCATGTTAATGATGGTTTAAGTATGTATATAAGTATGATGATGTAATACATGATATGTACATGCATTTGTTAGTTTATATACATATTTATATGTCTCACTAAGTCTATGACTTAGCGTGTGAGTGTTTCACACGTAGGATCCAAGAAGTGCTAAAAGAAGATAGGCAGTGAAGACATCATAACTTCAGCAAAGACCAAATCAGAATGTATAGTAGTTTTCTCTTTTGTATTATATAGTGTTTGCATGTATTTCCAAAGAGTAAATTTGTATAAGCTCTAAATATTGTAAACGTTTAAAATTGATATATGTAAATTATTCAATATGTTTAAAATTCTTAAATTTATATCTATTTTATCTAAGTACACGTTTTGAAAAGTTGATGTGACACCTCGGATTCGTATCCGGGTCGGATACGGGTTGAGGGTGTTACACATCGAGCGTTGTAGAATTTTTCAATTGTTTATATATATATATATATATATAAGTGTGTGTGGCATGTTTGAATGATTATTATAATTATAATCTCATTGAAATGAGTGTAATTAGAACATTTAATTATCCTCTTCAATTATCAATGGATGGGTCAAAATTGAGTTAATTGCATATAATTAGTCATAATTATTTTTAACTTTTAAGTAAAGATTTTTTTTCTATTATATAATATCAAAAGGCATCTTTAATATTCCGCAA